GGGGAGAATGGAAAACCCCGACGGCAGGATGGAGACGCTGCCGGAGTCGCAGCCGGTGATCACCGACTGGATGCCGACGACGTCTACTCCGGAGTAGACCACCATGGATTCCGACGCGTTTGTGGAGCTGTCTTGGAGGATCCATACGCTGCTGCTCTCTTTTGCTCCAATGGTCTGTAGTATTTTGAGTTTGAATTTATTATCTCTAAACTCTTTTTAAATTTTTTTTCACGTGTATGGTTATATTAACATACACATACCCAAAATTATATTTTCCATTTATTTTACAAAGTTAGGGGTGGAATGATAAATTTAAAATTTCATGGAGATATTTTAAAATGTTGAAGGGCTAAAATGGATAAGTCAAAATTTTAGATACCAAAAAATAATTGAAAAAATGAATTTCATAAAAAAAAAGTTTACAAGCTAAAGTAGAATATAAGAGAGAGAATTATTTTACCTGAATGGTAACTGCGTTGCCTCTATCTTGTCCTTTAGCCAAGTTTGCAATCAACTGAGCCTTTTCCCCACCGAACATGGCATCCCACTAAAAAGATTCACAATTCATGACATGGTCATTGTTTGGTTGCGAAGAAAGTTTAGGAAAATATGTTAGGCTATTATTTCTGTTTCTTGTTTTTCGTATCTAAATTTATTTTTAAAAAATTTAAACATTTTGCAATTAAGTATGGGTTGGTTTGGTAAAGTTTCCAATTTTTAGTTTTTCATTTCTAATTTTCTTAAAAAATTTAGATATTTTGCAATTAACTATGTTTCTTATATTCTGCTTCCATCATCTCTCCGAGATGGATGTTCTAATATTTTCTTGTCATTTCTCCCCAACTTCATCCCTTTTGTTTTAGGAAAAAAGAAAAAAAAAGACGAGTTAAAATAGAAATAAATAATTGTTATGATGAACCTTATCATCTACCTCTACCGGAGATTGATTGTTGATACACGATCCAAGCCATTAATTTTTTCTATTTACTTTTTTAAGAACATTCTCAAAATTATATATAGAATTAGAAACAACCAAAACAAGTTTATTTACTCTCTTGTTCACACATTTTCAATTTGTTCCAAAATATAAATAAAAAAATTGTTTTAGTATATTTGAATTCATGAATATTATGGTCATGCAATTAATTTTTCTTTATTAAAAATGAAGAACCAGAAACCGTTACCAAACAGGCTCTAATTACCTCATTTCTGCGAGCTTCGTCTCTCAAGAAATGGAAGAGAAGGTGAGGAGAAACAGGGAGCCAGAGAGAAGAAACTGCACAAAGAATCACCCCAATGGGTTCTCCAGGGTCACTCAGATTCTTCCTCGAGCAAACCCTAATATCTTCCCCAGTTTTCCCCACCACTTTGCTCCATGTTTGATAGCTTGAAGCTGCAACTGCTTGGGAGAAGCTCCAACTCATTCTCTGTGCCAACTTTAAAGTGCTTTTTCTTCCAGCCAGTGTTGCCACTCCTGATGTGTTTCAAAACATGTCAATATTTTTCAAAACTTTATCCCGCAGTTTTTTTTATAAACAGGAGAGAGAAATAACGTTGAGTTTAGTGGTGGGTCGGATCCACCTAGTTGAAAAGTATTTTATTTTTTGAATTAAGTTCAAATATGTTTATAAAGAAGGTGAAAAACACATGAAAACTTTTTAAAAGCAAAAATATTTTAGGTCCGCTTGATAACTATTTTATTTTTAGTTTTCTATTTTTAAAAATTAAGTTTATAAATTCTACCTTCACCTTTTTTAAAACATTTCTAAAATCTAAGCTAAAATTTGAAAACCAAAAAAATAGTTTTCAAAACACACTTGTTTTTGTTTTTAATTTTAGCTAAGAATTCAAATGCGTCTTCGAGAATCAAAGAAATCGTGAATAAACACGCCTAACTTTTGAAAAAAGATAACTAAAAACGAAACCGTTATGAAACAGGTTTAATTTGACCTATGGAGTCTTTGATGGGAATGTTGGTGGCCATGGAGAAAGCTAGGCGCTCGCATTGGAGTTGGAGTGTGGCCATCCAATGTCTTGCTCCGAAGGCAGTCCCATTATTCACTATGCTGCGGTACAAGTTATGAACTGCTGTGCTTTTCTCCAATTCCAAGTGCTCCACCATTGTTACCTGAACTTCATATTATACACTTAATTATCACTACTTTTTCTTTTCCTTTATATATTCACAGGACTAAAAAAGTTTGTCACCTTGCAATGCCCATTAGATTCATCCTTAATGATGCAACCAGAAGGGCATTTTCTGCATTTCACCAAGGCTGCATCCATATTATTATCTTCGACGTTTTCGATTGAAACATCAACGATTGCCCAACGTTCAGCATCGAGCTGCTTGCAATGGCGGACGAAATACATTTCTCTGGTGGGCACCAATGGTGTAAGCATCTGCACCTCTGCAAACATCTGCACTGGACAGTGAAAGAGCCCTTTAATTCATATTGTGACTTTGAATGGAAAAAAAAAGTTCTGTTTCAGCTCACCAATTGCACTGCGCCATTCCAATAGGCAACTTCTCCATTACAAATAACATCAACTGTAGCGGCTTTTGAGATCATGAAAGGAAACATCTCCTTCCATTGATTCTACGAGAAAACGTAAGTGAATCGAAGAAACTTAAGTTAATAGGTTACCGTAAATTTAATATTTTTATTCGATCTTTTATCATCACGGGTAACATAACACAAAAAAAAATGATACTTTGTATCTGCTACACAGTAGAGGTAACTTTTTATGCATGTTATATATATTAAGAACATCATTTTTCTAGTTAAAAATTTAGTATAACCTAATTTTATTAAGACATTTGTGAGGAAGAAAAGATAACAACAATTTAAACTTTTATTGAACTCGAAAGTTTAACCTGATAGATTAAGATAAACGTAGCTTTTTATTTATTTATTTATATTCAAATATATATCCTAATTTTGTTACCTCGTCCATGAAGCTTTGAACCAGTCGCGAGGGCTCCATGAAGACAACCGTGGTCTCTCGAGAGGCTTCGATGTGTCTCTTTAACCAATTGTTGCTTGAGTTCGTGAGATGGAATGTTTTCAAGTACTCATCGTAGTTTAATATTTCTCTTCCGGTCTCGACACTCCGGTGCCAAAGTGGTTCAGGCGCGGTAGCCATTGTTTTGAGCTCTTCCAGTGCTTGATTAACCTTGTCCATGATCCTTGACTTCTCCAGCCCGAAAATTCCAGTGTAAAAATCTAAGCAACTTCTGTTCTCTTGTTCATTTCCCGTTGAGTATGAAGGAGAGGCAGCTGCTGCTGGGTATTTCCCCAGCGCGGCTCGTAGTCTTTCAACCTACGAATAGAAAACATCGGTCATATTAATGAAATATAGAATTTACCGTAACCTATCCACTTAAATTTTTGAGATAGTTTAACGAGCAGACCTCAGCTTTGAGTTTGGCATTCTTAATACGCAGTTGCTCTGTAGTCGTCAATGCGGTGTGGTCTCCGCTGCCAACATCTGTGGCGCCACAGTTCGGGCAACCAGCTTTATTCTTGGCAATCTTTCTCATGGCTTTATTCTCCTCTCGGAGTTTGTCCATCTCAGATTTTAACAATGCATTTTCATGGCGCTCTTGAATAGCCTGCAAAAACAATAGTACGCTCAAATGAAACCCACTAGTTAACTCAACACTTGGTGAAACAACAAAAAGTGGTTTTGAAAACCCAAAAATAGTATAAAAAACAATAAAGTTTGGAATGTGTTTTTTGCTTTTAAAGTTAAAAGCTTTGTTTTTTACGTAGCGAAATTTTGGTATATGACTGCTGGGAAAAGTGTATTTCAGCCCATTGAAAAAAGAGAGTAAAAAGTGTTTTTTTTGCCCATTCAAAAACACTTTTTGGTCAAAATAATCGAAAGTGACATTGAAAATTTGCAAAGAAAAAGGAAATTAATTAATTTGACATACTTTGATTTGGGTTCGACGATTTTGGAACCAAAACTTGACCTGCCTCGGAGAAAGGCCTAATCGCTTGCTCAGCTGCTGCCTTTGCTTCTCATCTGGGTGCGGTGACTCTTTAAACAGCCTGCAATAAACATAACAAAAATGTTCAAGAACAACATAAATTTCAAGACAAGAAAAGAAAAAAAAAATCAAACGATGTCGCTGTAGATTACGCCTCCATTTCTCGGATCTGCTCGGCGGTATGCCGATGATATTTCTTCCTTTTCTTCACGTGACATCCTTGATCCCCATCTTCATCTTCTTCATGCACTCCTCCACCCTCAAAATCTTCGTCGGATCTTAAAAATAATACAAAACTAAATTTAGTTACCGTAATCAATTTCTTAAGTTTTTGAGTTGAACAGTAATTTTAACATACCTTACTAGTCCTGAGTTCTCGCTGCTAATCTCTGCAACATCATCTCGCCGTCCTACGCTGTCATCCACCTCCTCCATCTCAACATCCGTCTTCTCGCCACGATGGAAAATTCCAGCCTGAAAAACAAAAACAAAAACAGAAACCAAACAACTTGGTGTGAAAAGATGATCAAAATTAACGAAATAAGGGAGATGGAGACGACGAATCGTACGAGGGTAAGGGAAAGGGCGGGAGAGGAGAAGAAGTCTTTGGTATAAGCGAGGCGATTATTGGTATTATCATTCGACATGTCGACGGCGGCCATGAGATTGAGATTGAGATGTGGATTCATTTTTAAGGGAAAGAAGATGGGAGATTTAAAGGAGATGACAACAAAATGGCTGAGCTCAGTGATCGAATTTCGAGATGTTTAAATCTATTTAATAAATATAATATTAGAAAGAGATGAGTGAGAGAGAATGGTAGGGGTTGACTGTTAGATATTCGATGTAAGAAAGAAGATGACCCAACTAACTTTTAACTCTCTTTCAATCAAACTTCCAACGGTATTTCGTAGGTTTCTTTTCCCACCAACGGCTTTGTTTTCCTCAACCTAGCTACCTCCCAATTTTAATTCATACGAGTTTCTACTAACTTTTTTATAATGTATAATTAAAATATACGAGCACAGAATATTCGTCCAAACGATCGAATAGATTCTTTTGTAATCGATCGAGAAAACCTGTAAAGCAGAAGGTGAGCACTTCAATACTCAAGTCAATAGAGGTTGGAATTTAGTATATTAGACTTTTAGTAGAGATTCAAACGTGCCGTATATTAGTAAGTTTTACCCTTTTGATTTATAGGCGACCATGGCTTGGAAAAGTCATCAATAACCTCTTGTCAATTATTCCCTAGATTACTGTATTATGTGGAGATTTCGTTGATATTTACTACCTTCTTTCTCGAAGTCGTCGGCTGCTCTGAAGATGGTGGCACGACAGGTTGAGAGTTGTAATGGTTGGACTGGAGATTGGTGCCCAAATGTAACTGAATTCTGCCTTTTCAACTTTCATATATACTCATGGCTCATTTCTTGGAGTACTCCTCAATGCATTGTTCCGATGGTGTGACACGTGGCAGCTGCATTTCGATCCCCTACAAAACATATCATAAAGATGGTAGGAACACTTACCTAACATGTGTTGTAGGCAAATATTGTCCTCCGAAATTGACACAGAAAAAAAAATTTAAAATACTATTTTAAAAATAAATGAATGGTAAGTTAGTAATGTAAGTTAGCTTAGTACGTGCCTCTAGTTAATCTCACAAAGTAACCTTTCTAATTACAATATTTCATTTTTAAGAAATTTGTATAATTTTAATATCCTAATTAAGTAAGATAGCTACCACCGGATTTTGAGCTCATTTAATTTCTAGAGTCTCTCTTTAATTTTGTTTTTTTCTCACATATTCCAGTGCCATTGGGTTTTAACAGAAATGTTATTTAATATCGTAGCAATCTTAATGGATAAATTTTTTAATTAAAGATTAAGAAACTCATAACTTTAGTATCCTAATTAGTAGGTAGCTATATCACAAGATTCCTATTTTTTTCCACACGTTCTAGTACTATTAGGTAAACCCATAATAGTTAATATAGTAGCAATTTTATTGGGTTTTAAAAATATTAAAAGTGAAAATTGAAATAGAAGGCTTTAAAATATTAATTAAAAAATGACATTAATTATTAAAAGATGGAATTATATATGTTGGTCTCTTTCCCTTAATATGTAAGGCGGGTAAATTAGACTATTTTAAAAATTAAGGTTTGAAGTTGAAAAATGACACAAATATTGAGGATGAAATTATATATTTGGCACATAATAAATTAATGTACTTAGTTATTTAATATTAGTTATTCATTAAAATATAATAATTAACTGATTAATTAAGCAGAACTAATACAGATGTGTTAATCGTTGCTGAAATATGAAATTGAATTATAGGTAGCATATACAGATGTTAATATGTTAATTAGGGAATAATAAATATTGATTAACTAACATTAAATAAATTATTAATTATATGAAGGACATCAACAGTCAAACCAAAAAGTCAACACGGAACTGATGACATGGCAATATACTTTCAGCTGATTGGACTTATGCATGACTTATGTCCTTGTGTAATTGATGGGGTTGCGTCCAATTTTCCTTTGTTTTTTTCTTTAATTTGCCCAAAAAGTGTGAACCGAAACAAAAGCAAGTTTGAATTGTATTTTTAATCCTATATCTTATTTTATCTTTAAAAAAAAAATCCTTCCATTAGAACTATTTTATCTTTGAAAATTTAGCTTAAAAATAATATATATATGTGTGTTATTTTACTTTGTAATCTCTCTCTTTTTAATGTTTTCACAATTCCAGTCAAATTTAAAATTTTATTTTTGTTTTGAAAAATTTACCAATAATTTAAATATGTTGGTAAGAATGGTAAGAAAAATACATTAAATAAATTAAGAAAAAAGTAGGCATAATTTTTTTAATAAAAAAAATTAAATAAAACTGTTATCAAAGATAACCTTAATAATTTCATTAAAATTAAAACAAAATAACAAATTAAAAATGCAAACAGAGTCGAAATTAAATAAGTTGAAATAAACCACATGATTTATTTATTCCAAAATTTGAGGAAAATTTATCTTTTATTATAAAGAGCACTTATGTGATATAACCTAAGTTTATAATATCTTTTGATGACCGCTATTTAGACAAGTGATTTCTTAATAATATGTTCTATTTTATTTTTCAAATAATAACATCTTCTATTTATTTTCTTAAGTAACTACAAAGTCATGAGATGATTTTGGTTATTAATTAATTTTGATATTTATTTTCTTGGATTCAAATTCATGTCTTGAAGGGTTGGTGGTACAAGGAATTAAAGAGTTAGCCAACTTAACTTCAACATAACACTAACTAATTAAAGATATTATAGTACTTCTAAGGGCTCTAGTGGTTAGACATTATATGTCATTTTTTGTAGATTCAAACTTGTCTCTAATTTGTATAGCAATAATTTTGACTATCATAAATATTGTTGATGCAAGTATTCTAGACGAGGTGAAGGACAGACGACTAATTTGAGATGAATGTCCAATCAATCGAGGTAATAACCTGCCAATAGAACCTTTCATCGGTGTAGTGTTCAGCCACATACACTTTGAAACTTAAGTTAATACTGAGTTTGAACTAGCTAGTGCGATCAGCTTTAGTAATAAGGTTGAGTAGAAATTGCTTACCTTCGATAAAGAATGAACCCCAACTTTTCTAGAGGAGCTTTGAAAAACTTGTCCTACTATTTCATTACTTCATATTTTGTATTCAACTACTTTTACATCGATGACATCCGTGTTTTTAGGACGGTAGCTGGGTGTAGGTAACTTTGATTTGGCTCATCTCATCCTCAACCTGTCTGATCAGCTGAAGCCCAAACACATGTTTAATTTCCTAGCGAGAGGACTACGTAGCAGACTATTTCATCCAATAACAAATACGACGTTGGAATAAAACGGTTGTTTTAATCTCATCTGCATTTCAAACAATATTTCCCAAAACGTAGTTATTTACTTTGCATTTTTCTCATCTGAAGTTGAAGGTAGTTGGGAATGGTAGATAATATGAATATTAAAACAAAATGTCCCCATAGGAATCCAAATGAAGAAACAAAAGAAGAGCTCATTGTTTTCCATTTGCTCTCTCTGATTTCCAACACTGATCTTCAACTTTATGTCTCTTTTTTATTTGCTTTTAGAGATGTAATGTTTCTCATCTCCATAGCCAAATCAGAAGAAAGACAAAATGAGAGAGACAAGCCAATGGAAACCCAGTAGAATCAAACTCAGCTTTTTGAAACCAGAAATAAATCAAACTAGAAACAATAAAAGGACAAAATGTCAGAGGAAAATTGAGGAGGAAAAGTTGGAGAAATTATGGGGGAGAGGGAAAAAGTAGGCTACACAAACACACATGAAAAAAAAACCATGTCCTCAAAGGCAATAAAGACAAATAAAAAGGCATACATTCAACATAAATGATCACATTAATAATAATGAAGCTGGTAAACTTGCTACTCTATGTAAATATAATTTTAATAATGTACAGAGAAAGTTTTTTAAATATATAATTTTCTCTATCTACTTGAAAATAGATAATGTCATTGATGGCGCGCTATACCATCATCATAAATGAGAAAGTTATGTTAATTTGATTTAGTTCAACTCAACACAAATGAAGCATACCTTTATTTAGAAGTAACATGCACCTAGCTCGAAATTTTCTCAACTTAAAATATAGTAGTGCTGCTTTTTGATTTTCACCTTTTATATGGCACCACATTATCATCTACATAATCCAAGGCTGGATTATTGTACTACTTTAATTATATATCGAGATTCTAAATTCTAAAAGAAAAATAGTTGAATCAAATACAGAAAAGAAAATTCATTTTAATCACTCTAGTCCATGTAAAGAAAGATATATCATAGGAAAGCTACTTTTGAGAACGTGAAGGCGAGTCGTAATTTCTAGTCAAGATGAACAATAATGTTACAACAATTGACTTCCTAGAAATCTGTAACATTTCTATCATTATTTATCTTCAATCGAAGGTGATAACAACAATAAGTGAGGAAGTTGAAAGAAGAAGTATTCAATGTTGACCTTGACACATACGTGACATATTCATCTAATTGAAAAGATTGAAATAATGGACATATTGATGTACCATAAAAACTTCTAGTATTTTTCTTAAAATTTTCCATAGCGTTTTCGCTCTCTCTTTTCAGTCCTCTCCTTAGACTACATTTAATCCATGCTCCTATAAATGTCATTCCTACAACCAATCTAGTTAAATTTTTTTTTTATTTTTAATGTTTTATTTATCATCACACGTTGTTTTGAGAAACACCACGCTAAATTAATTAAAAACTTCAATACTTCATGTCACTAGACTTCAAGAGTAAATTTCTCACGATGCTTAAATTATTATTGATTTTTTTACACATCAATCTAATTTCTTTCTTTTTTTTTTTTTTAAGTTTGGTTTAAATTAAATTTCATTTTAGTCTACAAGTTTTTAGGTTTCTTCCACTCTCCTTATCCAACTTTCAAAATATCTAATATTAACCGCAGACTAACATTTAAATATTAATTATTTGATCTTAAAAAAAACATGGATAATTGTAGTAGATAGCAAAAATATTTTATGTATTTCACARAATGTCACTAATTTTTTAAATTTTCAAATATAGTAAAATATTTTAATTTTTATTTTCGAGATTTTTATTATTCTAATTTTACCCTTATGATATCTGATATACATCAAATCGTATATGATATACATCCAATTTATATATGATATACATCTGATGAATATCTGTATCTGATATCCATCAAATCTATATCTGATGTATATCCGATGCACTTCTGATATATTTTTGATATACATCTAATGTACACCTGAATCTAATCAATATTAAGGTATTCATTAAAACAATTTAAACTTGTAATCGAGTTAAACTCCCTCAATCAAAATCTTACAAAGTTCCCATTTAGATTGAATATTAGTGCATCTCGTGGACTCTTTTCAGATATTCAACGAATTAGATGCACTAATAACTGTAGTGGACATCTCCTAATATTAAATGACATAAAGTGTCTAAATGATCAATTTCTAAAGATTTCTATTTGGGTTGGTGCTAGCATCTTTAGAAAGTTATCTATTGATTCTAATTTTGAATATTGTTGTACTTTTGCTAATAAATACCATATTTCATTCTTTTGCTAAAGTAAAATCAACATTATATCATATGTAAATCAGGTTATCACATCAATAGTATATCATATAATCATATCAGTATATCAAACAATTATTTTAGTACTATATCGAATACTCAAATTAATAGTATATCAGACGCTCATACTATATCACATGTATATTAGATATACATATTAAAAGTATATCACACACTTATATCAGTAGTATATCACATTTATATCATACGGAAATTAAATGGAAATTGAAATATAGAGTTTTTTAAGCTTGGGTTTGGGCCTGCAGTCCAATGTTATCATTTAATATGTGGGCCTCTGTTTTTTGGGAAAAAAATGCTATATTTGAAAAATCAAAATATGGTTGCTATTTTGCTATTTTTTTTTATCATATCTCAAGTTGGCCCAAAAAACATTAATTATTTGGTAGTTACCGTTATTTTCTATCCATTATATTTAATAAATAAATGATATATTTGCAAATATGTATATGGATTGTGAACATACGCTATAGGTATAGGTAGTAGTTGGGCAACCTATTAATTATATTTTATTATTTTGATTTTTTAGTAGAACGAATATAGGGTATGAGAATTTGAACTCCAACTTTAAAAGAAGAAATAAATGTTGTTTATTGTTGAGTATATTCATGTTGGCTATAACGTTGTACATTACCTATATAATAAATAGTCTAGAGGTCAAAGTTCAATAACCATTCATCCCCAAATTTGTTGCACTGCAAAAACTCTATAACAAATAGATAATGTGACTATAATTGTATGTATTAAAGTTCTTTAATATCTGTCAAATCTAAATGCTAATGTGTTAAAAGATAAATATTTGAATATTAATTAGGGATATTATTCTCATTCATTTATAGTCACATAACATTATTTTAAAACCAGGGAGATCTAAGTTCTAACAACTTAAAAAAAAAAAAGGTTAAATCATCCCATTAAAAGAATACAATTATTTTATCTTTGTGTACAACTATCTCGGATTAATACGTTATGAATTCTAATATCTATTTTAAAAGAAATTCAATAATTGTGATTTGTCTTAACTTTCTATAATTTTTATTTTTCCATTGTTTGGCGGGAATGTTGAGAATTATTGGGAAATGAGATGGTTAGTCTGAGGAGAAGAGCAGGTGAATAATGGCAGCTCCGACAAACATGCACAGGTGTTAGGCCTGAGAGGGAAGCTCCATCACCACATAATTCACACATTCAGGAACCACTTCCTTCCTCATCGGCTTCTTTTAGCAGCGAATCCAACGACTCTCAATTCTCTCTCTCCGCCGATTTCCAATGCCGGAATCAGTTCGTCTTCCATCGGAGCTATCATCGCCGCTGCAGCCCTCGCCCGGCGCATTTTAGTCACTACTCCGCCCTCTCGCTTCCTCGTCTTTCTATTTCTTCCGATTTTTGATTCATAACCTCTCCGATTTATGCCGTACACTTACTTCTCACCTGATCTTTCTGATTTAATCTCTTCTCTTCATCATTCGCATTTGATTTCTCGTTTCCTCCTCTGCCGGTTGCGTGTCGGTCTTGTTTTTATGCAGAATTTATGTTTTCGGTAATTAGTTGTTGAGACGATCAGGTCTCTTGTATCGATCGGATAGATTACTACGAGATGTTGACATGAATGTCTTCTTGTTCATGCTTTATAATCAATCAACGGCCCGTACTGAAATGTATTGAACTGCGGGAATAACTTAATTTAAAAAGTATTTGGAAATATTAGATAATCTGTGGCTATATAGATGCCCTGCATTCATGAGGTTTTTATTCTCTCTGCTAATTGTGACTGTGATTGGACATTCGCGATCCTTTTGCATCTTAAGATGGTATCCTATTGAAACTCGACATCCTTAATCGATCCTATTGAAACTCAACATCCTGTGTTGTCTTTCCGTTTTCAGGTGCCACTGGTAACCGAGTTCCTAATAGTAATAGGCAGTTTTTCTGCAGCTGGTTTTGAGGAGAGCTCGTTTATAACATTTACGCCATGAGGGGGCGCCATGTCGTGGACATGTCCTCAACTTACAAACGTGCAGCATCGAAGGACTATACAGATGATGCTCATGGTAAACAAGAGAGTTCAGGTATGGCAGCAATGCCTCTATCAAGATTTTCATGATTTCTTTGTCATCTGGAATGAAACTAACTGTTTAACTACTCGACATGTTTTAGTGCGTTCTACTGGAAGTGGACACCCTTCATGGAGACGCTCCTTGCGGCATGTAGTAGTAGCAACTCTTTCTTCGTTTTTGTTTGGCTACCATCTTGGGTATGTCCTCAATCATCACCATTCCAAATATTACTTTTATGTTTCGTTAAACATTCACCATTGTATGTTTCAAATTGATTTAATCAATTAGTTGGTTATCTTTGACGATGCAGTGTAGTTAATGAAACCTTAGAGAGTATTTCCTTAGACCTTGCCTTCAGTGGGAGTACATTGGCCGAAGGTGATTATAGAGATATGTGTTCTAGCATTTTGATTTGTGTTTTTGGAAAAAACAATTAATCTAATGTTTTTTTTTCTTTTTTTAAATAAAGGTCTCGTAGTAAGTACGTGTTTAGGTGGTGCCTTTCTTGGATCTCTAGTTAGTGGCTGGATTGCAGATGGGTTAGGGCGTCGTAGAGCATTGCAGCTCTGTGCATTACCAATGATAATTGGTGCATCCATGAGGTAAGCATTTTGTGAAGCATAATCCCAAGTGATTCACTCCTGGTACTAGATAGACCCACTTTTGTTCTTGATATTTAGTAAAAATTCAAATGCTGTTCGCTTACCATATTGATTCTTGTACATTGTTTTCTAACTTGCAATTAATCCATTTTAAACCTCATAAATCTTTACTCTACTCCTTTAGATCATTTTTATAATATCTCACAATTTCAAGTTCCAAAACATGTCCTATCTTATTACTGTCAATCTGTTACAAATTAATTCAGTTTCATTAGTAATTTTCTTTCTATGCACAAATATGATTGTAGTGCAACCACAAAAAACCTCTGGGGAATGCTTCTTGGGAGGTTATTTGTTGGAACTGGGATGGGTCTTGGCCCAGCTGTTGCAGCACTCTATGTTTCTGAGGTACATAATATCTTGATAGTTTGTACCGCAAGCCACTCTCTGGAATTAAAATTAAGATCTTACTTTCAGTTTGCCTTGTTTTCAGTTAATCTTTATTTATATTGAGCAGGTATCACCAGCTTATGTAAGAGGTACTTTTGGAACTTTTACTCAGATTTCATCATGTCTCGGTCTTCTGGGATCCCTATTTATGGGACTTCAAGCCAAGGGAATAGTGGGTTGGTAAGTAATGTACCAGGAAATGCGTGGTTCAAGAATACGTCAAAATTTTCATTTCATATCTGTGCAAATTGAACAGTTCACCAATTTCTCTATGAACATCAGCAGATATCACAGCTTTTCTGACTGGAAGATTTTCTCAGGTGGCGGGCTTGTTTTTGGGCATCAGTCATTCCTGCTGCTTTACTTGCCCTTTTGATGGAATTTTCTGCTGAAAGTCCTCATTGGCTTTTCAAGGTAATTATCCCATATATAATTTAAATGGTCTCTTGGGAAGTTTATCAACTAGTGTCTGAGAGTTAGCTTTCTTCATGTTCACGGTTGTAAATTGGTTGAACTCAAAGTAAGTTTAGGGAATTACAGTTTCGGTTTCTTTCCCCCAAGCATGCACATATATTATTAATTCCATATGGGTATATCATGTCATGGCTAAATGGTGACATATCATGTACTTTAGTAGTCATTTACATATTAATGCGAATAGGAATTATGACTTTGTAAACCATTCTTTTATTTCTCTGCTTTCTTCCTTCTTGTTTGTGTTGGAAAACATCTCAAGGCTCTGATATCTTCCTATCCTACTTCATTTCATTGTACCACTGGCATGCTTCAATCAGTCAATCAGTTCTATGTGACACAGGACACAATAATTACACCATTAACTGCCTTTGTCATAATAGTTTGCGGTGCTCAAAAGAATATTAGTTTTCAGAATATCAGAAGATTTTTCTGAAGGATAAATTCAAGTTATGTAGCCAAATTCATATAATAATCTGCTTCTATAATTCTCTGATGGTCTCTCTTGAGTTCTATTAGATATAGAAAAATTGATGATCTAGCATCTCAGACTCATATGCCAATATATGTTGTTTCATGCTCCCCATTTCATGGACTATTTCTTGTTAAATTCTGAAAGTGATTTCTAACTATCTCTTCTGCATTTCTTTCAGAGTGGAAGAACTGCTGAAGCTGAGGCTGAAATTGAGAAGCTTCTGGGAGGGGCACATGTTAAATACGCATATGCTGAATTGTCAAAGTCTGATAAAGGAGATGATGCAGATGCAGTGAAGTTATCAGAGTTACTCCATGGCCGCCATTTCAAAGGTATTGTACAATGTAATCAATGATCACTTAATGGTTTCTGACATACTTTTAACTCTTTATGAAACTTTTTTTTTCTCTAAATTATTACATTTACATGTCAAATTTTGCAGTGGTTTTCATTGGTTCAACCCTTTTTGCTTTACAGCAGCTCTCTGGCATAAATGCTGTTTTCTATTTCTCTTCTACTGTCTTCAAAAGTTTTGGCGTACCTTCAGATCGTGCAAATATTTGTATAGGAGTAGCAAATCTTTTAGGTACGTTGGCTCTGACTGTGATCAGCTTCCAGTTCAGATATGAGATTACGCTGGTATTTGCCTTTATCTTTTCCATCTTTCAGGGTCAGTTGTTGCAACGATACTAATGGATAAACTTGGAAGAAGGGTGCTGCTTCTTTGGAGTTTTTCAGGCATGGTAATTGTTCTGGTGCTTTTCTGGGGAAAAATGCTCTTTGGTTTAAAAGGATATCTTAGTAGAAACTGTGAGACTGAACAGGACAACCATGTTCTTGTGTTCTAAAGTAGCAACTATGAGACTAAATTTCAAACTAAATTATTATATTTTTCCAGTTCTATTAAATTTCAAACTAAATTATTATATTTTTCCAGCTCTATTTCTTTTACATCGTATATGAAATTTTCCTTCTGGAAAGTTTCGATAGGACCTCTCTTAGCGTATTATGGAAACAAAAAGATGTATGGTTATGCTCTTTATAGCATGATTTTGGTCCCACATAAAAGCCGCAAACTACTTATGCAACATGTACGAGTCTGGTACAACTAAATTAGGTAAAATTAAAAATCGCATACAAATTTCTTTTAGGTAAGCCCTTGATAACGTTTTACTTTTCATAATATGAGCTTGCATTTGGTATATTTTGACGCTACTGTGTCTTGTTCTAGGTTGCGTCAATGGGCCTCCAAGTGGTAGGAGCAAGCTCATTTCCATCCAGAACTGAATCATTCTATCTGTCTGCTGGCGGCATGTTACTGTGAGTTATTAACATCCTGATAATCAAATTTTGAAACAAAACTTGGAATGCCTAGCTAGACGAATGAATGTGGGATGTTCCAAAGAGAAAATTATTACTTGGTCCATTCTGACAAGCACAAGATGGACAATGCAGGTTTGTCCTGACGTTTTCTCTTGGGGCTGGTCCTGTTCCTGGTCTCCTTCTATCAGAAATATTTCCTGGTCGAATTCGAGCAAAAGCAATGGCATTTTGCATGTCGGTTCATTGGGTACTATGTTTCTCAGCTCAACCTGATAAGACTTTGTTAAGAAGTCATCTGCTGCGCTTCTTTTGGTCCTTGTATTCTCTATCTGATTTTTGTTTTACAATCTTGAACTTGGAACAATAATTTAAAGGGAAAAAATCCAAACCCCCTTAAAAGAAGCTAATGTATGGATAAACTTGATCAAAATATTTAACTATTTATTACATTAATAAAATCCTTGTTAGAATCCATATAAATGAATTAAATTTACCCAACCCATCAACTTAAGTTTTTGGGTTGAGTGGTGGTTTATTCATCCTTAAGATGGTATCAGAGCAGGACTGTGTTCAACGCATAATTTTCCAAGTCCACAAATGAAGGGGGTGTTAGAATCCATATAAATGAATTAAATTTACCCAACCCATCAGCTTAAGCTTTTGGGTTGAGTAGTGGTTTATTCATCCTTAAGAATTCTCACATGTGATATCATAATTCATAGGAACGGCTAAACCCCTTCACTAGCTAGTTTAATTTTTGTCCTTTGAAACAGAGTTGTTTTTTTGTTGTAATAAAATTAAATTGGATGTTTTTTTTTTGTGGTTTGGTTTGTGGTTCCTCCACTGCTTATTGTCTTCTCTTTGTCTTCCCTTCGCATGCAAGCACAAAAGAATTAGGGAAATTAAGAAAAAAGAAACCTTGTGGATGTCTCACATTCTTGCTGGTTGGGACATGAATAGGTGATAAACTTTTTTGTCGGTTTACTCTTCCTGCCATTACTGGAGCAAATAGGAGCCCAGGTCCTGTATACAGTTTTCGGCACGTTTTGCTTGATCGCTGTGTTTTTTGTGAAGAGACATGTAGTGGAAACAAAAGGAAAATCACTCCAGGAAATTGAAATGGCACTTCTTCCCGTAGAGTAGAGGTACATGATACTTGGATCAATTCATCATCTTCTTTGTTTCTTTCTGTTGTATAACCAAAATTCCAAACAGAATTGTAAAGGCAGATAGTTTCTCAAGCATTTCAACTCCAAATATTCTACTCTCATGGTTTTCAGAAATTCTCCTTTAGAAACATTGTGCATATCTGATATTGGTTTCTACTGATCTTATTCGTTCTTCTTTTCAGGCAGAAAACAGATTTGTATTCGTTCAATACTCCTATCATCATCTTGCATATATTTTGCACAAGCCCATGTTCAAAGCGCGGGATTACAAGAGCGTACAACAGCTTCAGAATTTACGGCTTCTACCTTTCCCCAGTCGCACCCTGCAACGGCGGGCTTTCTAATCTTTTAACCTCTATTCAGGTCATGTATTCTTTATCTATTTTCATTTTTCTTTGGTTCTTTTCCTTGCTACAATGAAAAGCAATTGCAGAAAATGCCATGTGCCACAGTTCAAAGTTCTTTATTCATTGATTTTTTATGCAATTTGATCCTCTCTTAGCTTCACAGCTTATGATGTCATTCTGTACTCATAAGTTGCATGTTTATATATACTTATTTTCTCACATACTCTTATCCAAGAAATGAGAAATTGTCTGTCATAATAATGTGACTGTTACACTCATAACCGTCAAATTATGTATGATTAGAAAATATTATCTTTTTGACAGTTACAATGTCTTATTTGACCTTTCACTGATTTGGCTGTTTTGAAGAGACACATCTCTTGGGTGGTTGTAGTGAGTAGCTTATTTTTTGTCATTACCTGTTGTGCTATTGTTGAGCCATCATTTTCCAGAGATGTAGCTCTGTAAATAATGTGGTCAGGATTTTGATTGAGAATTGAGATTGTGATATTTTTCCAGTTTCATTTTTTGGAATCAGTTTGAATGGCTTTGATTTGAAGATTGAAAATTTTCAGTTTTTTTTTCCTCTCTGGTTGAGATGTCAAAATCTAAATAATTTATAAGGAATTAGATGTCAGATATGGTGAAACTCTCATATATAAATAAATACAATTGTTGATAGAAAAATTGATCAACTATGGCTATTTTAAGAAAAATTATAAAAATGATTCCTAAGTTAGTTATTTGCTATTTATATTTATATTATCGATGTTTTGTTGATATTTTTAGTTTTGCTTATGATATTGATTGCTTAGTTTATACATCCCCTTGTATCGATTGTCGGCATACGGATGAAATCTTTGAAATGAACTAAAATTATATCAATTATTTATGGAAATATGTCGACTCCATTCTTCAGTTCCAAGTAAAAAAATTGTTTAATTACGAATTTGAAAGATTGAAGAGGATAATTATGATATGCTCTTACAACAAAATTGTAACGGGCGCACACTGAACCATTCATACCTGGAAAAAAAAGTCTGCATTGTTGAATAAATAACATATGAAAATGAAAAATGTCCAATTTCTGGTTAATTTTACTAAAATTGGCTAAAATGAAAGATAGAATTGAAAGTAATCATTATGTTAATCAAGAAGAGATGATATTAGGATTGTGGAGTTCAATAGGAATCTTCCAATTGTTGAACAAGAAATTGTGAGTACCGATTAAAACTCTATTAGATAAGCAATATATTTCTATAGAAAGATTGAGGAGAGAGGCTCAACTAGGTTTTGGATTATAAAAGGTACGAGAAATTGATTGGTCAAGTAACAATTAGGTAAATTGCAGTGGGTAGTAAAATTTTTTTTTTTTATGTATTTCAAAATATGCTTAACTGTTTTTTTTTTCAAATATAGCACAAATTTTTACTTATATCAGTAGTATATGTATATCACATATATATCACATATATATAACAAATATATTACAAATAGATCACTTGGGTAAAGTTGTTATTTTAAAATTAGTCATCCGTTTTTTTTAAAGAGTGTTATATGTATATATTTTTTTTTATAAATAATATTTGCCACTACTTCACTAACCATTATTCTAAATGAATTAGAATGGCTATTATTTGAAGACTCTCTTTTGATCCTTTTGCATTTGAAGGCAGAATTTTTCGATATACAAACGTAATTTTATATCGGCCAGAAATAAGAAAAATTAGGCGTAGACAACATTTTCACTGATGCAAGGACCGTTAATTAAGTAGAATCCAAAAGTGAAATTATATGAGCAAAAGATATAAAAAAGAGTTGTTGTCTCAACAAATTGCAGATATATTAGCCAACATGCGGCATATATCTCCAATCAAGAAGTTGTGAGTTCGATCCTCCATCCCCACACGTGGTACTCAAAAAAGAAACCGTAGATATGTCACTTATTATCTTGGCTAAGGTTTGATTGAGTTACATTTAAAAAGGGGAACATATTTAAGAAAAAATCTAAACACATGTTTATTCAAAAGGGAAAGAAAAAGTTAGCATCTTAATTCCTAATTAATCAGCAATAATATAGAGAATAATGGATAGCATAGCACCAAGCATAGGTATTTTGAGGAGGAGTTAGAAACTGCCATTGTAAGCTTGAGCCCAATAATCAGCTCCATTAATGTCACTCTGTACAAGCTGTGTACAAGATACAGGTACCAAGCAAAGCCCTCTACTCCTCAAGTCCTTTCCTCCTTCGTTTTCCTGCCCATTCAAAATCTGCTCTTAAAATTTTAGACTCGTTTGATAACCATTTTATTTTTATTTTTAAATTTTAAAAATTAAGTTAGTTTATTAAGGGAATTTTGGAAGCTACCCAAGATATCAAAAGTAGACATGCATGTCTTCTTTCTTTCTTATTTTCTCTCTTTCAATTTTCTCATCTAAATATTGAATCTAAAAACTGGTTAGTTTTCACAAAGTATCACATGTAGCACAAAAGACAATGTAATTAGAAGGTAAAAGTTGAAAAGGGGTCGATCTATATAAACTCTCAATATTTGAAAGAACTATCCATATGAACATAATTTAATATGAATAAGATATTTATTATCTTTCCTGGAAGGTTCGACCTTCCATCCCATACCTATATCTGTAAGCCCTAATTTTTTCACACTAAATACCTTGAAGGGTCTAATTTAAAAAATTCCAAATATTTTAATGGTCTTTTTTTAAAAAAAAAAAAAATCAAACAAATCATGATCATAACTTGAAAATGATCAAGAATGGGAAGGTGTAAAGAAAATATAGTTAATTTCCCTAAATATAAATATAGTTCATTTCCATTCCAATTTTCAATTTTCCTAAATATAAACACTGTTCACTTCTATTACCATTTTAATTATGCCATAATCCTAAATATGATTATGAGAATGATGGGTGTGTAATTGCAAATAAAAACATTCAAAAAGAGAGAGAAGATTAAAGAATACCTGGTGAGGAGGTAGTTTTCTTTTCAGGCTATTGTCATTCAAGAGCTGCAATGGCCAAAAGAAAAGAAAAAGAAACACAAAATATTATTTAAATAAAAAAAAGTAATTAATTTTATTTTAAATTTTTTTATCAAACCCTTTAATGATTCCAAAACAATTAAGAAGTCACAAATAATGCTCTCTAGGGTAACTTTTAAAAAATGTTAAAGTTGGTATAAAGCTGAGACCCTTGTTCTTTCACTTCTTTCCTTTATGAATAAAAAAATAGGGTTCTTCTTTTTCTGTTTTCAAAATTTTTAATCTCTTTAGAGATTCTTTCATCTCTCTCTCTCTCTCTCTTTTAGTTGAATTTTTGTAAGAGTGATGGATCCAATAAAGCAACAATAATACCTGACCAGGGTCTTCAGGAAATACACAACTTCTTCCCCTCTCTCCTTCAACTTCTCTCAAATTTCTCCCATCATTTAATGTTCTCTTCAAGTACCAAAAAAAGAAAACAATTGTAATATATAAGTTCATGTCTTTTCATCTACTTATAGAGAGAGAGAGAAAACAAAAAGATTTGGGTTTTGTTTGGAAATGTGAAATTGGGTCAAAGATTTCGACTTTTTTTTTTTTGGGTAATGGAGAAATGTCAAAAATGGGTTTTGGTTCAAAGAAACTTACAAACTGCTCCTTCTTTGTGGGTTTTGATGAATTGCCCAAATATGGAGAGATCAGAGCCTGCAAATATATATTCATAAGGAAATACAAAATCAAAGCTTAGCATTAGAATAATATTCATAAAACTTTGTACTGCATAACTTCCCAAATAGTTCTTTTCTTAGTGGTTTTTTCTGAGTATAAAGAAATGAAGAAACTAATGGGGTTATAGAGCTTGACCTCAATCTGACTCTGAAGGAATCTGACATACCCAATAGCCTCTGACAAGACAGAAGCAGTGTCAGTCT